CACCTTACTTTTAATTGCTAAACTAAAGATATTGTTCATAGAAAAAAATTTCAAGATACAACATTTAACGACTTCACACATTACTTTGAATGAATTGATAATATTGTGACAACTCTGGAAACCATTGTCCAATAATGATTCCCTACCATTGTCCTTTAATGATTTCCTCACCCTCATTTTTAGAGGGGCCTCCCACTATATCTTTTACTCTAGTTACTTTACTCTCTCAATGAAAATTACACTAACGTGAACGTAGCCTTGTATCTTAAACCTTAGTTACTCTGTTACTTTACTCTCAATCGAAACTACACCAGCATTAACGTTGCTCAACTTCTGTGAACCGTGATACATCTCGTGTTCTAGTACGTTTGTGTGATTTTACAATCGAGTCTAAGTTAATCTAGCTTTATGCATCAAGATCATGATATTTCCTTCACACATAATAATGAATTGTTGTGCTGTGCACAAAGTATATGTACAATAAGTGATGCCCGATGTGCCACCATAAGCTAAAATCACTCCCCTTCCAAATACTACCAAGTGTTCTTAGGCATGACCTACACTATTAGGCCCAAACATGTGACTGGACTTCTCTATACTGGCCTAAATATAATCATGGCCCAACCCATTTCATATACTGGATCGCATGTACATGTAGGCCTAAATATAATCAAAGCCCATGGAGAAGTCCAGTCAAAATACGTGTGGGAGCACACACTAGCTACTTTGACAGTTTGACTTTGGTGACCAACTAACTTTTCAGTTACTCGCGCGCAAACTACACGTCGTTTCTGGAGTTAGCATCGCCTGCTTCCCAATTCTCTTCCGAAACCCGACCCGAAACCTTCCCCAGACTACCTCTTCTCCCTCTCGACAACTTTTCCGTCACTTTCCCGAGAAAATTTGAGGAAGAAGAAAATGGAGAACTCTACGCAAGAATCGCATCTCCGACAGGAGAACTCGGTGACGTACGAGTCGCCGTACCCGCTGTACGCCATGGCCTTCCCCTCGCCCCAAACCCGAACCCGCCACCAGCACCATCGGATCGCCGTCGGCAGCTTTATCGAGGAGTACTCGAACCGGGTCGACATCCTCTCCTTCGACCCGGATACCCTTTCAATAAAACTGAACCCGACCCTCTCCTTCGACCACCCTTATCCGCCCACCAAGCTCATGTTCCACCCGAACCCCAACGCCCTCCATAAAACCAATGACCTCTTAGCTTCCTCCGGCGACTACCTCCGCCTCTGGGAGGTCGGCGACTCCTCCGTCGAGCCCATCCAGGTTTTAAACAACAGCAAGACCAGCGAGTTCTGCGCCCCACTGACGTCGTTCGATTGGAACGACATCGAGCCCCGGCGAATTGGGACTTCCAGCATCGACACCACCTGCACAATTTGGGACATTGAAAAGGGGGTCGTCGAAACCCAGCTGATTGCGCACGATAAAGAGGTATACGATATCGCGTGGGGGGAAGCTAGGGTTTTTGCTTCGGTTTCGGCTGATGGGTCGGTGAGAATTTTCGATTTGAGGGACAAGGAGCACTCCACGATCATCTACGAGAGCCCTCAGCCGGATACCCCTTTGCTCCGATTGGCTTGGAACAAGCAGGATTTGAGGTCCATGGCTACAATTCTGATGGACAGCAATAAAGTTGTGATCTTGGATATCCGATCGCCGACCATGCCAGTGGCGGAGCTGGAGAGGCACAGAGGTAGTGTAAATGCTATTGCTTGGGCCCCCCAGAGTTGTAGGCACATTTGCTCTGCTGGGGATGACACTCGGGCGCTTATTTGGGACCTGCCCACGGTTGCTGGGCCGAATGGAATCGACCCCATGTCGATGTACTCCGCAGGTGCGGAGATTAATCAGCTGCAGTGGTCTGCTGCACAGCCTGATTGGATTTCCATTGCATTTTCTAACAAGATGCAGCTTTTGAAGGTGTGAGGGCGGGAAGCTGGGAGGCTTGTTTTCTCATATGGATTGTAAGTGTTCAGTCAAGTGTTTTCTGCTTGTGCTTGCTTTGATTGATTTTATGACTGCTCTACTGATGTAATTTAGGCTAAATTGATTAGTTTGTTTAAAACTATTGAATTCATCACATTGCTTTTGAATTCGCTTTTGTTGAGAATTAAACATAAGGTTATAGGACTAGACTGTAGTACAAATGAAGAGAAATATCATTAGACTGTAGTACTAATTAGCAAGAAATCAAAATTACAAATCCAGAAAGCAAAAGCCGGTACTAAAATAAAACAAAAACATGAAGCCTTTCGGCCCTTGTCATCACAAATCTGCCTTTCTCCCTGGTCTTAGCACCGTGTTCCCATCTTATATGTGTGCGAGAAAGATACTTACATTAGGACTTTCTCCAATCATTTTTGCTCATAAGTGCTTTTATTAAAAGTAAAGCAACAAGTTGAAGTTTATTCAAAGTTCAAGTGTTTATTGAAAAACACTTTGAAGTGTTTCATGAAGAAGCACATGTTTCTCTAGAAAGCACTTTTAAATTCACATAAACACTTTTAAGCTAATCTGTCAAACGCACTTTTAAATTCACATAAGCACATGTTTCTCCAGAAATTACTTTTAGTTTGTTTAAAACTATTGAATTCATCACATTGCTTGCTTTAAGTTAGTTTGAGACTGATCTGTTTTCGTGAGTTTGTAAGTTTTGCATATCTGAATTGCTAGTAAATGTCGTAAATATTTGAATCTGGGATAGATGTTCGGGTGCATGTGTTGCAGAGTTATTGAAAAACATTTACATTTGTGCGAAAAGTCCATCATCCTGCCAATTTTTTCACGGTTTTCTTCTATATGATATTTGGTCTCATTGTTAACCTTCTGGCCTTTTTGCAAATGGTTCCTTTGAAATTCCAACCTTACCAATCTGTTCATGAGCTTCTTCTCTGTATACTATTATGGCACACTGATGTACAATTGAAACATAGACAGTGAAGTCTTCATCCGCATGGTAGCTGTCCGTGTGTATTAGTAGTTGGGTGGTGTTATCCACACACCGTTTTTACCTCCCACACACCCCCTGTTAATTTTTTGTCCTTTGATTAATAATTGATGAGCTAGTCATTATTGTTAACTGCTATAATCATATGTCATACTCTGATTTCTTTCCGATCACAACAGATCGTGTGTATTTTTTTTTTCATTCTTTTCGGTTCAGTCAGAGGTCGCACTTGGTGCGATGGCAAGTGTCTTCGCCCATGAGCGGTAGGTCTCGGGTTCGAGACTTGGGAGCAGCCTCTCCATAAATGGGGGTAAGACTAGCCGACATTCACCTCTCCCAGACCCTGCGTAAAGCGGGAGCCTTGTGCTGGGTACGATCTTTTCGGTTCAGTCATTTTGTCCTTATTGACGGGATAAGTTGCATGTTTAACTTCTTTTGATGCAGGCATCCTGTGTTGATGGAAGCAGTGATGATCACTAGGGGGAGTTAGCTGGAAGTAGTTCTTCAATTACCTATGAGCCTTGTTTATAAAGGAATATGGTTAGCTTTGCACTCATTAGAGATCTATTTATCGTTGATTATCAACTAGTCTTGGTCTAGACCCACAATGTGAGTAGTGTATCTTCCCCTCACACGCTTCGCCCCTTTTTAGATCCAATGTTAATTGTACCTGTTAGTGTTGGCCTCTCCTGTATCGCATATGTTATTCCCTCATGTTTGACAGTACTCTACTTGAAAAAGAAGGAAAAAGGAAGTTGTCGGACAGTTTTGGTTGGTGCTATATATAAAATGTGTGGTGACAAGGTTTGCTAGATTGTTTTGATATCGATTCCCAGATCAAACGTGATTGCGTTGTATTTCTGTTGTGTTTTGCAACGTGTGAGATTGGGGAAACCATAAACGAGGTGCTGCGGAGCTGAGATGCGGTTTTTCCTTTGGCTTTACTGGCTGCATATGATTTCGTCTCTCATTCATCACAAGAGAAGTGAAAATTGTTTTTTTTAATAAATGAGCTAGTTATAATAATTTAGCTCGAATTCGTATTTATCAAAAATCGAGTCTATAACCTCTCACTTATAAGTGACGAGAAATATCACTAGACTGTAGTACTAAGCAACAAGAATCACAAGTCCAGAAAGCAAATGTCAGCTCAAATGTAATACGAAAGCTATATGACACGAAGCCTTTGGGCCCTGTCATCACAAATCAACATTTCTCCCCAGTCTTAGCATCGTATTCCCATCTAATATATATACTAGAAAGATACTTAAATTAGGACATTCTCTAATCATTTTTGCTCATAAGTGTTTTTATTAAAAGTAAAGCAACAAGTTGAACTTTATTAAAAGTTCAAGTGTTTATTGAAAAACACTTGGAAGTGCTTCCTAAGAGCATCCCCAATGAGGGTTTTATCCTTCATGAGCTACTACATTTGGGGCCCGTTTGTTGACCGGATTAGGCATGATTGGACTGGACTAGACTGTAGTCCGTTGTTTGGTCTGCTCCAGGATTAGGTTTAATGAGCTTAGGTCGGACTCGCTTGGATTAAAGACCTCCTTACGCGTTCTTAACGGGATGTCCCCAATTTCGGGCGGACTCGTAAGCCCTTCGCTGTTTTGATAGAGAGAACCGCGAGAGAGTCGCTGGTCTTATTTGTGTCTGCGTCTTCCCTCATCGTCATCCTTGCTTGCTCCCTCATCGTCGTTGTTCTCACCATCATCTCTGCGTCTTTCCCTCATCCGCATCTGCTCGCCCTTATATGCTCGGAGTTGTCAGGTAAACTTCTAAACTTTGATTTATTTCTTCAATTTGTTTTGCAGATCGTGATGTTATTGAGCTTTATTTGATTTTGTTGTTTTGGGTTTGAGAAATTTTCAATCATAGACCTCTGCACTTGAACAAATTAGGGCTTTGATGTTTGGGTCAAATTGAGATTAGAATTTGGGGTTTTCATATTTCAACTTTTCTTTCAAATCCGAACTCAGAAACCATGCTTGGCCATAAAATCGACAAGTTTCTTTTGCAGAAAGGAACACATACTTCCATCTCTGTTATGTTAGCATAAATCTGTGTGGTTTTTCGTTTTTATGTTCTTAGTTCACGAATCTTTACTAGTTTCTCTTTTTTATTTTATTAAATTTCATGTAGGGTTGGATGTTTGTGAATTGTTTGGATGAGAATTAATGTGAGCTGAAGAAATTTTTGTTATGCACTATTTATATGAGATTCTGAGAAAATTAGGTGTTAGTCTGAAGGCATATATAAGGAGATCTGTATTACCAGGCATGTTTGACATTAAAATCCTGACCTATTTTATAGGGCTTATGGAGTTTGGATTACAGTGGAAAATCTGAATATCTTCATTCAGCTTTTAGAGAAACTTTTGCAAGAATTTTCATCTTTGGTCTCATTTTATTTGTTTGTTTGATTCTCTGGGAGAGGCGTAAAGATTTCTTCTGATAACAAGGAGAGATGACTAGTGAAAGGATTGTCTTTACTAGTGCATGGGCCATGAATTAGACATTTTTAGTTGGCTTAAAATTTACTCTACTTTTGTGCCACTGGGAGTATATGAAAGTGAGAGCAATTGCATACAAGTCAAGTTATAACGTGCACCCAATGAATTTCCATAGTTGTTCTTATAAGCAGCTAATCTGAAAATTTTGTGTCCTTTCATACTTTGGACTTTCTATATGGCAGGAGGGTTAACTAGCATGCATCTTGAATGCATTTGGATTCATATACCAACTTCCCGCCCACCCCTCCTTTTAAAGTGAATAAAAAACACTCACAACTCTGTTCATTCACAGGAAAATACTACTTGTTAACTATGATGGCTTTGTAATTAAGCCTTGCGACCATGGCTTTACAACTAAGCCTTGCTATATCTCACGTGACAAGTGATGAAAGAGTCTGGTTTGTGGTTATGTTCGAAGTCGTATCCTCTGTTTGGTTTTGTTTCTGCATTTTTTTATTTCCTTTTACCTTCCTCGGACCACCTTGTTTGAATGGCTTTAGAGATAGGCAGGAAGAAATTCCACATGTCCTGTCAATGCCCAACCATGATATTACAATGTGAATGTTTTGTACCGTGTGGGGTTGATGCTGAACTGCAATATTCTGTGGTTGTTGGTTGCAAAGAAGAGGAGCATAAACGGAAGTGGCCAATGCTAAGAACCCAAGGGAAAACAAGTAACAAACGACTGAAAACCCTCAAGTCTAGAAGAAGGTATAATTCCTAAACCCATAGATCAATTTTCGACATGGATCTATTGAATGTAGTCCTTGGATGTGTGAAAGTTTGCGTTGCATCTCTGTGAATATGACTTCTGTGATATTATAGAAAAACCAAACTGTTTAGGCAATATAAAAAAGGACCCACCATTTTGTAAAACTTCATGGCTGTTTGATATTTGATCGTATGAATTTAACTTTAGAAATACACTTCTTTAATTAGGTGGTAAAGACCCCCAATTCCAGTGTCCTACATGTTTAATTGGATGACAATATCTTCAAAGGAGTGTACTACAAGTTTGAACTATGTTTAATTGGATGACAATAGCTTCTTTTCCTGTTGAATGCTATGTTTCTGATGAATAAGTTTGAACTACAAGTTTTTTTCCTAGATAGCAATTTCAATAAAGGAGGCGGTCTTCTTGTGGTTTTTATCATACAAACTGTTTGTTCACAGTGAAGTCTATATGCATTATGATTGCTACCTTAAGATTGTAATTTAATGTACCATTTCCATAGTTGATGTTGTGAAGTTGACAAAGGATTGGCGTATTTATGATGTTGTTGTGTTGACAGTACAAGAACATGTTTACTTGATAAGGGATGTCATTCGAATAGAAAGAATAACATGGTGGGAAGGTGAAAATTGTGGGAAGGTGAAGAAGTCAGCCAAAGGTTGTTGCTTGCTCCTCTTGTTGCTGTTCATGGACTGAAAAATCTGCTCTAGCTCCTTCACAAAGTTTATGGCACCCCCAACAATTGATGCTTTGTCCCCCTGTAACAAATATTTATAACAATATTAATTTGGTCCAATCCCCAAAAAAAATTCTGTTTAAAAGAACATATGGGTAGAAATCCATGTGAGTTCTTTGGGTTAATCTCCCAAAAACATTTCAATCTAAAGAAAATGGAGTTGCAAGGGACTTCTAGTTGTACTGCCTCCGTTAATAGTGGTTAAGCCAGTTTACCCTCACATTCGAGGTTCTTTGTTTGTGTATCTCCCTCCCGTAATATGACTTTTGTAAAAGAAAAACAAAAATAAAAACATATGTAGCTCGATGAAATTTTTTGGCCATTTTTGTACCTCTTGATTTGTTTCTTGTTTTCTTGTTTAAACTTGGAATACTTGTGGAGCCTGCTCTGTGTTCTAACAGAATTGAGATTGTTTTTGTAACTAGACAAAATATTGGAGGGAAAATAAGTGGTAAAACCGTTTTATACACCAAGCCCAATTTCATTTGAATTAGGATATGTATTTATCTTTTCATTTATATTAGCAGGTACTAAACAAAACAATTGTCCTCTTTTTTTAAGATTCATAATATACATGGCAAAAATATGCTTCAATTAACCCAGATCATGAGATTTGTAGTATTACTCTATTACACAATGGCAAAAATTTTAGGGCGTTGGGCATATGTTTTTGAGTTATTAAAATAGAACAATAATGTAGTTCTAGTATAAGCAAACACAAATCTGGTGAACAGTACTGTTTTCATTATCCTGCTTCTTAGTCCGATACTACACCAAACGCTTCACTAAGTTAGTCCAGCTTAGTCTAGTCTAAGCCAGTCCAGCTTAGTCCCTGCAACTAGTCCAGTCCGAGACAGTTCGATGCAACAAACGCACCCTTGAAGTCCTAATGAGAAATTTCATCCCCAATGAGTTGGAAAATGGGGCTAGATCCACCACGGCTAGCAATTCCCTTCCTTGGGTAGCAAAAATAAGCTACATGTAGCCCCTAAAAGCAGTGGGTCCCACGAGAAAAGTAGCTACCCATGTGAACCAAATTTTGTCACTCTCCCCCACTTGCGAATACACTTGTACTCCTCTTTTATACTTTTTTAAATTCTTTTTCTTTACATTTTTTGTTCCAAAGGTCATCCTTCATTTTATATGTATGTGTAATGCTTAAGACATAAAATGATATAAGATGTTCTACTAAAAGAGTTTACTGTTATTAATTTCTAAATACAAACACACTACATATTAAAATGACATTGAAAGTTTAGAGACCTAAACTGAAAACATAAACAAACAACATACCTAAATTGCAAGGGCATTACAATTTAATTATGAGATGAAATCTTATCTTGTCTGATTTCGGAGAAACAAACCAACGGATAAAATTGAGATAAAGAAACCTAATCCAACGGTTCATAAGTGATCAATTCCAACTTTGTCAGAAAATGAATTTTTTTAGGTTGAAATGTTCATAATTTGTTTTTTTTTTTTTGAGATAACACGTCCAAAAATAAACTTAAGAAAAGTTAATACAATTTGTTTTATCGTGTAATCAAATTACTACTATATATATATATATATATATATAGCCCCATATAAAGTCCAAAAGTAAATAGCTCCTCATTGGAAGATATTCTTTTATAAAGCCCCAATGATTCCTCGAAGCTCTACAATAGGTTATATCCATAACTTTTCCAGCCACATATAAAGCCCTTCATTGGGAATGCTCTAAATAAGCACATGTTTCTCTATAAATCGCTTCTAAAATTCACATAAAACACTTTCAAGTTAATCAGTCAAATAGTCATGAGTACTTTTTGCTATTAGACAACAGTTTTAATTATTTTAGAAGAAGTCCCAAACAAACCCCGAAAGACCTACCAAATGGTCAATGACTAATTAGCAATAAGTGTTTTTTTTGTTTACTTCAACTAGAACAAACGAACTAAAACGTTACTTTTCTTTCATTAGTATTGGTTGAAACAATAAATAATGGCCTAATTAGATTACTAGTCTTTGTAGTGATAGGGTACTCGGAAAATAGTTTATGTGGTACACAATTAGGATTTAAGCCCATGTGGTGAAATTTGGTTAGAATTTATGCCTAAAATCGAAAAATTCGTTAATGGTTAGCGCATGAGGCTCACATGTGAGGCTAAAAAGTTAAAATTAGCCTCACATGTAAGTCTCACGTGCTAACAATTAACGGAGAATTCTTATCCTCATTTATGTGGTTCACTTGTTAATAATTAATGGAGAGTAGACATAATTTTCAATTTTGAGCACAAATCCTAACATAATTCACCATAAGGGCTTCAATCCTAATTTTTTACCACAAGAACTATCATCCAACTATCATATCACCACGGAAACTAATAATCCAATCAGGCCTAAATAGATAAACCACAGGTGCATTACTAATTTTCTGATACATCAAACATGGGTTTGGTTAGGCCAAGATGACTTGGGGGGGGGGGGGGGGGTACGTAGTGTGCTTGTTTAATTATACTTGGGTCTAATTCTCCTTTCCGTACTTTCACTATCGTAACGAAAAATCCATCGACAAATATATGGTAAATGACGTTTATTTAGTTTTGACCTTTGTTTATTTCGTGGATGAGTTCATTTGAAGTGGATAGTATCATAGACTCATAGTGGCCGAGTAGTTGCGATGCTTTCACGAGGAAGAAAATTTGATAATTGTAATAAACGTGTAACAACTACTGAAAGTTCATTTGAGAAAGCGCGCTGTGTTTGGATTAGGTTTAAGTAAATAAGTCTATCTGATATTGTATAATATATTATGAAAGGACCAACATTGAGGTCAGAGTTTTAAATTTCCACGATACAGTCGATATTTCTATGAAAATATCTAAAAAAATCATAGAAAGATATGGAAATGGGGAATGAAGTCTAAAATTCACCTTATATCGGAGAAAGTCTTAAGTTTAGGCTAAAATCGATATATATTATTGATATTTTTGACACATTTGTTAAATATCAAATAAACTCTTATATTTTGTCCAAACCATGGTTGACAAAAATTTCATTATGTCCATCGAAAGCAATAAATATCGATATCGATATTCAATATATGTGTCGATATTTTCATAAATTTGCAAATCAATATTTCACCGATACTAATATTTTAAACATTAGTCGAAGTGTGTGTATAGACTCTCGATACCGATTCGCGGACGTACGTAGGAACTTAGACTTTTCTGCATTCTTAATTTCTTTCAGAACGTAAATTACAAATTAATCATAGACATATATGCATATGTAGGTTTGGAAAAAACAATATATATATATATATATATATATATATGCATATGTAGACAACAACGGAAAGTGAAGCTTTTTTGTATATAGCTAACAAATATACATTCTTCCCGGCTTCGAAAGCGATTATATAGATGCACTCAAAAAGTCTATGGTCAAATCACATGTACTTATATAATAAACCTATGATTGTGATATATACCTGCGCGTTGACAAAAAGGAAGATATAAATATTTGAAGATTAGTCCGTACAAGCTACAGTACGTATAATATCTTGGTGCTTCTAGTTCTTTTTAGGGTTTCTTTTTCTTGAGTGATCAACCACCATCCTTATTTCTTTCTGTCTTTCTAGAAAGAGGGGTAAGTGGGCGCTTCTTTAATTTGGGTGTGAAAAATAAGGTGAACCTTGAAGGGATCTCCTCTTCTCAAACAGCAATATCCCACAATCGGAACATGGAGTCCTTGTAAACTAATATAGTCTACGCCTTAAGGCTGGACTGGACATCATCTTCATTTATATGATATTCAGTCCCAATCAATTAATAAATTCCCCACTTTTCGGCCATTTTTTAGTACATGGTAGTATTGTTGAAAGTGAATCTTACGTCAGAAAAAAGAGAACTTTGTATGTGCTTATAAATAGTTTGGCTACTCCTAAATTGCCAATTGATTTTACGGTCGAAGGAACTTCAACTTTGTTCAAGTTTGAATTGATCAAACATTAGACATACCAACAAAAACAGTAAATTAACATCACACGTATCCTAAAGTTAAGCTGTCTGCTGTCACCGTACCCCTCAACTCAGGTAACTTCATGAATCATGTATATAAGCGGAGGCCGAGACACACACAGAGAGGCATACATTTATCTCCTACCGAAATTGCAGCTGCCGCTGAAATCTTACGTACCCTACTATCTTTAATGCTAGCTTCTTCTGTTAAAGAAATTATGTGAACGATCCTTTCACTATCTTCATTCACTGTTGAAGGTTACAATCCTTTCACTACTTAAAGGCTCTGCAACTTTTTTTTTTTTTTTCCTGCTATATATACTTCCAGAATTTTATTCATCTGATAAAGAAATGGAGCAATCAAGAAACATGCTCATCAAAATGTTACTTTCCCTTCTCAATCTCCTCAGGATCATCAAGACACACTACTACTCGTTCATGATTACTTTACGTGATGATCAATATCACAAGCTTCCCGGAATAAGTTATTCTGATCGTGTTGCGCTACAAGATCACAATAATTTATTCCCGGAAGTAACCCCTTCGCCTTGGTTGGTGCCGTTGCCGGTTCACTGTATAGCTGAATCCGTGAAGAACCAGCTCCCGACGGTGCAAAATAGAGGAGGCAACACGCAGGATTCGGATTATGGCTCGCACACCGATACGTGTATTGTGTGCATGGATAAAGTGGAAGGAGGGCAAAGGGTGAGAGAGCTTTCCAATTGTTCACATGTATTTCACAAAGAGTGCCTAGATGCTTGGATTGATGAGGGTCAGTGTACCTGTCCTCTTTGTCGATCCAATCTATTGCCCAAGAATTGTACTACTCCAGAACCAAAAGGTCATGAACGGGAGTTGGATCCATGGAGGGCGGAGAGGATGATTTACTTGTTTGGGGACGATTACCAGCTCAAGAGGTAGCTGGCTTTGTTAAGATGTAGGAGATATTTAGTGGTGAAGCAGGCATGAGGTCATTAATTGGTTGTCCTTGACACCAATAACTCCAAAAACTCCATGTGTATTTGTTTGTATTATTGTATTTGACCCCTATAATTAACAGTTAAGGCAAACTAAATTACAACCTCATATTCCTACTTCTTTTATTTTCTTCTATCATATTTGTCTTTCTTTTCTCTCTTCTTGTATGAAATGCTTTAGTTGAAAAGCTTTGGCAGTCTTCAATATTACTCTACAGTATCATGTATCCACCCTCGACAAGCTTCTACTAATAATAGTAGTTGTTGACATATGTTGGCATAAACTTTTGGCATATGTTGACAGGAATTGGCAGATGCCTACTAGGTACTCGACGAAATGGCCCA